ACTCATATTTTCTTATCTATTGTAAGAGCACTATAGCAAGAAATATAAAGTTTTATTTTAGTTGTTTTTAATTTTATAGCAAAACACTACTTCATTTAATTTTTGGATAATGTTCTAAAGAACACTTTAAATTATAGGCAAAAAATAAATATTGGATAATTAAATTCTGCCCAAGCTTACAAGATGCTGCTGCTGATATGTTAGACATGGTTTGTTTATTGTTTCAGTTTTTTTATAATACTGGGCCTAATTTAATTACCTGCATATTTATTTATTGCCTATACTTACTTACAGTTCATGCTTGCTGCCTTTGGCACAACCTCACTGTGTGAAACACTTTTCTCACATTTCTTTCGTGTGGTTTGTTTTTTGTACTTTTATTTATTTTGTATACTTTTTTTTATTACTTTATGTATTTACAGGATCATTTTGAGGAATCTCAATTTGAGTCACTATGCAAAGATAGTTAAAAAACTAAGAAAAACTGCAGTACCAACACTCTTTAGCATTCCAAATCCACCACCATCTGTAACTGACAAGAGGATAAGAGAAGTAAGATGTCCTAAGCCAAATACTGAAGTGGTAAATTATTTAATATTCTCCAAAAAAATTGTTGAAAAAATCATTGTTATTACAAATATATTAATTCAGTCAAAACCATTGTTTAAAAAAATAATCACAGCATAACATGTTTACTATTTCTTTTTGAATTTAGGAAACTCTACCTGCTTCAAATGAAGAGTTGTTAAAAAAAATAGAATTCCTTGAGCAACAGCTTCAAGAAAAAGATGCAAAATTGACATCATTTTTGTCCGATGAGCAAGTAGGAACCCTTGCTGTGCAGTCAAAAAGGAACTGGTCAGAAAAGTCCATTATAAAAGGACTGAAGATGCGATTTGCTTTGAGGCAAACATGGATATAATTACCTCAGAAGTACTGGATATCCAGCACCATCGTACAGTACCTTGAACAGGAGGATTAGGGACATAAAAATTAATTTCGGCATTTTAGAAAATTTGTTTTTTTTCCTCAAGACAAAAGTTCATTCATTGGATGCTCTTGATAGGAACTGCTGCCTTTTAGTTGACGAAATGGAAATAGCTTCATATCAAGATTTTGATACATCGTCTAAGTCATTCATTGGAAATGTTACGTTAGGAAGCTAAGCATTACACTATTGTAATGCTTAGAGGCCTTAAAACATCATGGAAACAGATTGTTGCCAATGAATTAACAGGGCCTTCAACATCAGGTTCTGACATGAAAGATCTAATTCATAGAACTGTAGTAGCAGCTACAGAAATAGGTTTAACTGTAAGAGCCTCTGTTTCAGATATGGGAAGCAATAACAGAGCAATGTGGTCGTCATTGGATGTGTCTGTCTCTAGGAGATAGGAAGACAAATTACAACATTGGAGGACCTGATGTTTTCATTCACAGTATTGCAGATGTACCACATCTCATTAAAAATATGAGAAATACATTTCTTTCAAGTATTATAATATTACCAGAGGAATTTCGCCACCAGCATGCCTTGCCATCGAGGATAGTATCTTCAGTGTATGTGAAACGACTCTGGTCAAGTGAGATAGAATCAGATGCTGCCCTGAGATCTCTACATCACTTGAACAGAGTTCATCTCTTCCCAACACACTTTTCCTCGATGAATGGGGCATCTGCTGTGCAATTGTTTTCTGTAAAAACAGCTGCTGCTATTGAAAAAGCAGGTTATTTTACACCAAGTTGCAAAAGAAGCATTAACTTCTGCATGGTGGCTGAGACTTGTAGCAGAATGGTTTACAATTATGACTACAAGGCATCCAAAAAAAGGCATCACTATCAAAAATCAAGATGAGAAATTTAATATTTTATTGAAATTCATTCATGTGACTGAAACTGTTCAGTTTGGGAAAGCATGGAAGCCATTTCAAACTGGCATTATTATGAGCACATTGAGTGTTGTGAAACTCTCAAAAGAATTATTTTCCGAGGGGTTTACATTTTTCTTACCAGGCAGGTTGACACAAGATGCGCTGGAAAATGCCTTTTCACAGATTAGACGAAAGTTGGGTGCAAAGCCTACTGCTTTGCAAGCCAAGAGAGCACTGAAATTAGTGTGCCTATCACAGTTCATTTCAGATATCAATAATCCAAATTATTGTTCTGAAAGTGACCACAGCCTCTTTGATGCTTCTGAATTAGAGGTTGCTATCAGAAAGGAGGTCTTGCATCCTATCTCCAATTCTGTAGTGCCATCTACCTCTTCTGCAGTGGCAGTGAAACGTCGCTTGCCCCCAGCTGTGGAAGAAAATGATATACATTACATCGCAGGAGCCATATATAATAAGTTGTTGAAAAAAAAAAGCATATGTGAAAATTGTAAAACAGCTATGACCATTTCAGAGGACATGCTGGAACCTGACATACCCGAGCATCGCACAATTCTTACAAAACATAGCAATAAAGGTGGACTGAAGGTCATCTCTTCAGGAATGTATCGAATATGTAGGGAAGCTGAACGAGAATTTCAAAAATGTAAAGATGTACTCCTTCGTTTACAATCAGCCATCACAAAAGAATTAGTTGAAAGAATAATTGATAAATGTACGCATGTGGCCATGCCAGAATGCTGTAATCTTAAGAAAGTAATTATTGATAATTTTTTTATTACTAGATGCAAAGGCCTTACACAGCATCTTATCAACAAAAGAGCCCATAACGTTTCATATTCATCAGCATCGGCCAATAAGAAACAAAAAGTAAAATAATTTTAGAAGGTATGTATGTTTTTATATTAAATAATTTATGTGTTTTATGTAATATGTATTACTTTTTCCTAGGCTACGAGTATATAAATTTCTGTGTTTGATGTTATATATGTTACTTTCTGCTAGGCTATGAGTATATTATTATGGTATTATTTTCTTGTTTCTAATATATAGAAATATAGCATATTTTCCAGTATAAAATTTCAGTTAAGTTTTACTTAAAAGTATGGGAAAGCAGATTTGTTTCATGCATGATCTTTATAATACTGGTATGAAATGAATGAATTTTAATCTGTAAACAATTTTTTGTTAATATTGAAATGTGTTTCCTTTGGGTACATTTTTAGGCACTTGTGGATCATGTCAGACAACATGCAATAGAAAAAAGATGTCCGTGTGCATAAATTTTTCATTGTGTTACTTCATTTTATCTAAATTTCAAGGATAATTCTTTTCATTTTTATATGGCATGTTATTAGTATAAAGGCTAGTGAAAATAAATTGGTATGTGTATCTGTTTTTGAAGTGTAATGCTTAAATAAAAAGATGGTGTGTGTTTCTTCATTTAAATAAAATTTCAAAGATAGTATTTTTCATTCAGCGTTGTACTGTTTGTTATTTCTCAATGTAAAGGGTAACAAGGGGAAAAAAACTGGTATGGTACATCTGTTTTTTAAGCATGATAATTTTATTTATTTCTTTAGTGATGCATATATATATAGAGAGAGAAGGTATTTGGTCCAACTGAAGTTATAATAAATCTAATTTTACTAGATCTTCCTCCCCTCAGGTGTAGAAAATTTTCAAATGCAGAAAGTTTATTTGCAGAATTAATTCATTTCTGATAAACTTATTATCATTAATTTTTTATATACCATGTTATTAAGTTACACGTATGACTACTGTGTAATAAACTTGTATTTAGGGCAAAAAATTAACTGTTTTGCAGCTGGTGACTAATATCATATGCTTCTAAGAATATTACTTTAACTTTTTTCATAACTTTTGTATTTCAGGAACATGAAACTGTTATTTTGATATACTTAAATAATAAAAGTGTGTATCTGAATCAATTAATGGATACAAATATTTTACAGTTATTTTTAGAAGATATTTGCCATATCGCTTCTAATAATTCATAAAGTATATTAAAATATAGGTAAATAATTTGGTGCAGAATTCAAATTTAGGGTTTGAAATATAGTGAATCATGAGACTAAATGATTTTTATTGTCATGATTTGCCTGGGCTTAAGAATGTACTTTTCGCCCGGTGGAAATTGTCATCAAACTGTCCTGAACAGGCTTTTTGTTGATAATAACTTCCAGGCTTATCAGTACCTCCTTTTGAGTGGAGGGTATACAAATATAGTACCCAATTTAAATTACATTGTGATTGTAATAATATTGTGGTATTAAATAAGTGATTATAATTACAATTTAGATAATTGCTTTGTAATTATATTACATTGTATCTGTGAACTCTTAATTTCATTACTTTATGCAATTATGTTGTAAGTGCATAATCTAATTGCAATAATATAATCTATTCACAATTACAAAATAATTATAAATGCAGTTACATCTTAAATAGAGGCCATTTTAATACTTTTAAATTTTTGCAAGATAACTTCCCATTAAGGTTCATTTGGAGGAAACTATGCAAATACTAAAAAAGAAATTATGTTAAATTTACATATTTTGTACAGTAGTTTCTTGTTATAATGCTGTTCAATATATCTTCAATACTTTTGTAAATTTAACGACATTCTTTGCAATTACTGTGGGGCTTTAAAAAGAAGTTTCTTAGTTATGCTTTCTAATAAGAATGTGTTAAAAATTAAGTATTATGTATAATAACTAGCAATTAAAAAACTTGACTGCATGAAAATGCTGTTGCTGTGTAAAATAAAAAATAAGCTTTCTTTTATGCTTTGAAATGAATTACATGTGGGTTAAGTCGTCCTTTTACAATTTAAGAATGTGGTTAACACACATTCTTAAATTGGACAGGTTTTATCTAAATTATTAGTATAAAATATATAAAACTATGAATTATTTTGTAACATAACTCAAATTACAAAATTCATTCTATATACTACGTTCAAATTTATTATCTTTTATGGAATAACTGTTTTTTAATTTAGGTAAAAATTGGATTTTTAGAAGTATTACAAATACAATGCAACACAAAGGTGATCTGATTGGAGAGGAAGGACTTTTTATTACGGTTTCTAGTTCGTATTTATATTACATTTGGTGAAAGTCATCCAAAACACAGAATGCTGTACTTTCTTCTTCCATATATGTTATGAAATATTTCACACATTTAAAAGAAAGTGTTTCTTCTTCAGAGTCTTGCACAATTATTTCCATATACCTCAGACTAAAATGACAACATATTCTTAAGTTATTTTTTTAGTATGAATTTACAGTGTTTTTATGGAAATTTTTGTTAAAATGTCATTAAGATAAATTTATTTGCACACTCTACGCTTTAACTATTTCCCCATTTGACACTATTGAAAGTTTTTATTCATATCTTATTTATTTTAGTCTGCTAACGAAACTGAAACATCTAAAGAATAAGTTATTTTGAATATGTTTACAAAATATACGCGAAATTTTTATTTAAGTGAAAACGTCTATATACTATTCGAGAATTAATTAATTATCCGAAAAGTTTATGTGCGCTGAATGCCGCGCGTCTATAAAATAAATCTTTAAAAAAAAAAACAGCAGACATTCAGCCAGCGTGTGCGATAAACGCGCCAAAATTGGTAGCGCGTTCCCTCCCTCGCCAAGAGAGAAAAGTTGGTGATTCAGCCTGGTTTAGAGGAGCCTTAGTTGCTGTTTAGCGTTGTGATCGCTGATCAGTTCTTTTTTTTTGTGCGTATTAGATGTTTTAGGTTCAAAATGTAGAAAAAATGTCCATATCGAAGATATTACTAAGAAATATCACTCAGGATAAATGTTATATAGAAATCTTGGGAGTGTAAGGGATTATAAGAGTACTTTTATTATACTGAAAATATACGCACTTCTGCTAAAATCTGAAGTGAATCATTATGAAGTACATTTCACTTTTAAAAAGAATGTGATAAGTATACTATTTAAAAGTATAATGACGGATATTAAGAATTTGTAGAATTTTATGGTATTTAAATATGAATTTGTTAAGTCAAATCTTTTTTATATATATTTTTGATTCAGATATGTAACTTAAACTGAAAATCACGATCATATATTTCTCATGGAATGTCAAAGTTTATTTGTATTAAAAAAGTGCATGAGCAATGAAAATAAATGGAATAATACTTTTTGATTATGTTTTACCATGGTCTTAGCAGTTTTATGCCATCATGTGTTCTGTTCAACAAGATTTATTTAGTGCAAACAATACTACGAAAAAATATTGAAAAATACCTTGTTTTACAATATTTATTTCCCTTAATTAACTTAAATATGGTTTTTCATTTTCTAATGCTTTCCTTTACGAAAAGAATTTAATGTTTACAATTATTTTCAGCATTCGTACGAATTCTGTGCATAAAATAAACATTTTCTTTAACTAAATACTTAATCGGAAAGTATAAACCCGGCATTTCCGGTGTATCTACCACATGTAAAATGATCATTTTGCTTTAGTTTACATTTTTTCCATTACCAAAATCATGTAGTAGACGCGTCGGCCGATGCGTCTTGTCTCCCGGGTGACGTCACTACCAGCAACCAATGGCACGCTTTTTCCGTTCCTGGCCTAACCTTAGTATATTAAAGAACCTTGAGGGTATGTAGTGGCCTGGTTAAAGACCTTATCAGGTCTGTGTGCCAGTTTCCGGGATCAGTATGTGGATGTGGATGTGGATGTGGATGAGCATAAGGCGCCGAAGGAAAGCCAAGCTTCAAGAACAAGAAGAAGCAAGAAAATATTAAAGTATTTTCTTATTCTGTGAAAACTGAGAGTTCTTAGTATTCAGAACCGATATAAATAAAATCTGTCATCAATTAAATTTTCATTTAATTCTAGAATGTTAACAACTTATTCGGTTTTTTTCCATTCAAAAGAAATGCATAAGATTAAAAAATTGTGTGTGAGATAAATGCAAGAAATCATTATGACTGATTAAGTTCTTGCAATTCCATGCAGGAACCTAGAACTGGAGGGATTCTTATGCATGTGACATTCATCACAAATGCTTCATGAACAGTTGGAATAGATTTATACTTGAACTCAGCGGAAATTTTACACATGTAATATATGCAATGGTGGATTTTCATAAGAATCTTTTTTAAAGGAACATTTGTTTATCTATATGAAAAACAGATCTTGTGTTTGTGCTATATGTAACAAACTTGCCTCACAAAAGCTGTTTACAGTTGTATGTTCATGTCAGGACAGGGAAAAAACTTCATGTATGCCATATGTGTAGTACATATTTGTATACAAGACAAATTTAACATTGCATATGTATAGCTATGCAATGGAGAAACATCATGTATGTGAACTGTGTAACAAATCATTCACATTCAAGTCTACTTTAAAAAGACATAGATTAATCCACACAGGAAAGAAACCTTATGTATGTGATGTATGTAGTAAGTCATTTGCACAAAAGCAGAATTTAATTACTCATTTGCATGTCCACACAGGTGAAAAATATGGATGTGAGTCATGTAAAAAATCATTCACACTCAAGTCTTCTTTAAAAAGGCATATGTTAATTCATACAGGAGAAAAACCTTATGCATGTGATGTATGCAATAAATCCTTTATACAAAAGCAGAATCTAATTGCGCATTTGCATATTCACACAGGAGAAAGATTTATATGTGATATATGTAATAGTTCATTTGCACGAAAACATGATTTACTGAGACATATCCAGAAACACACTGGAGAAAGTCTTCATGTATGTGATATATGTAACAAATCTTTTGGACGAAAACAGTATTTAATAGACCATATGTATGATCATACAAATGATAAACCTTACGTATGTGACACATGTCACAAGTCATTTGCACGAAAGCATGATTTTAAAAGACATTTACATGCTCATACAGGTGAGAAATCTCATGTATGTGATGTTTGTAACAAATCATTTATGCGAAAGGATGATCTGAGGAGACATATGCTTATTCATACAGGAGAGAAACCTCATGTGTGTCATATATGCAATAAATCACTTACATGGAAGTCAAATTTAGCACTCCATATGTCTATTCACACAATGGAGAAACCTTATATGTGTGAATTATGTAACAAATCTTTCACACTTAAATCCACATTACAAAGACATATGTATATCCACACAGGAGAGAAACCTCATGTATGTGATGTGTGTAACAAATCATTTACACAAAAGCAGAATTTAGTGCGACATATGGATATTCACAAAGAAAAGAAACCTGTTGAAGTCAAAAGTTTTTGTGAACGTCATGTGTGTCATATTTGCAATAAGTCATTTGCCGGAAAACGCTATTTAACTGTGCATTTCCGTCTCCACACAGGAGAGAAACCTCATGTGTGTGATGTGTGTAATAAATCATTTGCACGAACACAAGATTTAGGAATGCATATGCGCATCCATACAGAAAAACAATCTTATTCACAATAAGGCAGCATTCTGTGATACATTTATGTAGTCATTCAGGAAAGGTTTCTCATATATGTAATGTGTTTTGTAAATTATTTGCATAAAAAGATCATCCTTTCACATTAAGACCCACTATATTCCGAAGCTGTCTATAAGCTAAATCAGAAATATGAAGGGATTAGAATGTCTTCAAGTGGGAAAAAGAAAATTAGTGACAAAGAACGTCACCAGAGAGCATTATATTAATAAATTGGCTAATCTTTGGAATATGGTAACAGGTAGTTTGACGACATTTTGGTAAGGCGATAAAGGTTACTATCTAGGACTTTAGCAGTGTACATGGATAAAGTCAAGAGTGTGCGCAATGTCATTTTTGTGCAATTCTGGGATGTTTTTTTAAGTGAAAATATGTCGACGTGTATATGGATGATACCATGCATGTGCAATTCTTTAAAACGCAGCAAGCAGTAGGCGATTCTGCACTTTGTCCCAATTTTGCACCTAATCTTCGTCATGATTAAGTACTTTTGTTCCATAAAAGTTCTAGGATAAGCGTAATTCGGCTAGCAGATTGTTGAAAAAAAAATGTTGAGTAAAAAAAAAAAAAAAATGTTTTTACTTCGTAAAAACAAAAATGGCGTCCAAACAAAAACTAGCAGGTTGTTGTAGCAGGGTTGGTCGCTAAATTTTCGCCAAAAAATTGCCAAGTTACCATAATCCAAAGATTAACCAATAAATTATACATTTAGCGATTTCTTTACAATAGTTTTACAATTTTAGAAATTTTTTTTAAAAAAAAAGGTTAAAGAGTTCCACATGATGGCAATCGTTTTCAGCTGCAATCTGAAGTTGAATGATGGTATGTTTCACAGTTGACCGAAGTGTATGATAGGAAATGTTCAGCACATGGGGTGAAATGCTGCCTTTAAAATCAGGTGAAGTTCTTGGTTCGTCACGACTTACCAGATGGTTCAACTGTTTCCAAAGCCAAGAATCACATGGATTGAGATCTGGGGATAGGGGAGGCCACACATGACAGAAATGCCAGCTACAGTCAAAAGTCGTTAATTCGGACACCCATAATCTGGAATGATCTATAATCCGGACCTCAAAGCCACAAACTTTATGCGCATGCGTCGCGTTGAAGCATGCGCATAGGTGCTTACGCACACGCGTAAGACCTTTATGACTGCGAATATGCGTGTGCGCATGTGAATAATACGTTTATGCCTGCGCGTTTAATGTATAACGGACGGTATAAGCTATGCTAAAATTATCTAATTCAGCTAATGTTGCAGATTGCGTTGTTCCTTAATCTTCGAATTGGATCCGGCTTATTATTTTTTGCAGACTGTTAGAGCAATTTTATAAAAGTAAGCTTGAACTTTCGATAATGTCAAACAGAGTTTCCGATATATATTTACTAATATGTAAAGGATCTACAAAGCGATAGTATGTTGCGAAGTCCATTAAACGAAAAGGTGAATTGCTGCAAAAATTGGATAAAGGCCATATCCTTCGTTTCTCAGACCATTCCGAAATCTGTTTATAAATTTCACGTTGCTGTGCGGCGGAGGTGGGGGGGGGACGCCGCAGCGCGCAATGAATTGGAAGTTGATCTGTCAACACTATCCTTATCTTCAGGGCAGACGTTTTTATTTTATTTGGCTTATAATTCCTTACTAAATGTAGTGTTTCATCTCGATGTACTCCGTCTTTGATATGATTTAAAACAAGTTCCTCGTCATTATAATTCGCTTTCGATAGTGAAGAAAGTGTCACAGAGGTTATTGAAAACGAAAAAATTTCGATTGACAAATTAGTGGGTATTCTCGGCACAGCAATAATAGGACTTGAACAGCGGAACTTTGTAACTGAACAAGAAATTATGTCTGTTTATAGAATTAAAGAGAAAGTATTATCACATAAAACGAAGCAACTTAAACAACTTACATTGAAAGAAATGTTGGTACTATTCGCTTTCGAGGGCCGTAAAAATAACCAAACTATTGTTGATGCCAATGCTGCCAAAAATAATTCTGGCAACCCTAATAATTGCGGCAAGAAAGGAAGTATAATAGTAAATAGCTATCTAAGATTGATGTTTTAATTTAGATTAAAGGTTAATTTCATATAATACTTTTTTATTATTATAATTTATATGAAAAAGGCTAAACATGATGGAATGGAAGCAAAAGAGTAAATAACTATTTCAGATCATTATTATTATAATTTATATAAAAATTGCTAAACATAACTGAATGGATGCCTGCATCGCTATTTCGCTACCGACTTATCGCTAAAGCATAATTTCATCTCGTTGGTTGTTTAAACGTAATTTTCTATAATGAATGATGCCTTTTGTTTGAAAATATTCTCGGTAAAGTGCAGAATCGCTCACTTATTTGTTCGCCACTTTTTACAAGGGTAAAAACAATTATATTTTTGTCAATTTTCTTTTACTTTTTAAGTGAAAATAGCTTGATGTGTACATAGATAAAGTAAAGGGTGTGCTCAGTGCCATTTTTGTGCAATTCTAGGATTTTTTTTAAGTGAAAATAGGTCGATGTGCACATGGATACCGAGTATGTGCAGTTCTTAAAAACGCGTCAAGCAGTGGGGCATTCTGCACTTTACCCAAAATTCTGCTGCCGACTTTTCGTCATGGACAATTGCCAAATTGTTAAATCCATAGGATATCAAAAAAGAAAAAAAAAAAGAAAAAGAAAAAGAAATCAAAAAGGATTTAAAAATTAAACTAGTATTTCAATGGCGTCTTAAGAAATATAGAACCATATAAACTTACGCAATCTGAAATCAGCGCGTACGCTAGATTTGGCGCTTTTGCACATACATTTTCGCTGCAATTTTTTTTACGGCCCTCAAAACCGAATAGTACCGAAATGTTTAATAAAGTAAACAAATAAATATTAAGCTTTTTTTTTTTTTTTTTTTTTTGTAAATTTTGATACCCTTTAAATCATAATTGTTCTTTATTTCATAAATTACGGTTTCATATTTTTAATTTTATAATTTCTGCATGCCATCTTACCAGATTTAAACTGATGATCTATAATCCGGAATCGCCGAAGTCCCGACGCGTCCGGATTAACGACTTTTGACTGTATTTTGTAAAACAATTGTACTAACAAAGCACGATCTCGTAAACTTATTGTCATTGTGAGCATAATGCACATTGAAAACAAAGTCCCCAGGAATGTTTCTAGGTTTTAGAACAGCTCCTGCATGATGTTGACAAAGATTAGCATTTTTTCTACAGGTTTTTAAATTAAAATGCCTTCTGGTAACACTATTTGTAACAACAGTAAAAGTTTACAATTGGGTACCCCTTGCTTTTGGTGATTCTTTTTTGATTCCAAGATCGGTGTCAGGAAGGCACAATTTCAAGATGGCCGCTACACAAAAACCAAAATAAAAAGTCAAAGAATTGAACAAACTGTGTCCATGTACACATCGATCTGTTTTCACTTAAAAAAACATCCCAGATTTGCACGAACTAGGCATTGCACACTGCCTTAAATTTGTCCATGTACACATTAATCTATTTTCATTTTTAAAAAATCAGGAAGCTAAAACAAAGTTAAAACAATGGCTTTAGTGTAGAATTTTGTGCCCCTTCGGTTAGCAACATTTTAAAAAAAATTTTGGCGATGAAACCTCACTTCTCATTACCATGATAGTTTTAACTTTATTTTAACTTCCGGATTTTATTTAAATGAAAATAGATTGATGTGTACATGGACAAGTTTAAGTGCGCAATGCCTAGTTTGTGTAATTCTAAGTGAAAACAGATCGATGTGTACATGGACACAGAGTTTGTGCAATTCTTTGACTTCCTATTTTGGTTTAAGTGAAAACAGATCGATGTGTACATGGACACAGAGTTTGTGCAATTCTTTGACTTCTTATTTTGGTTTTCTGTAGCGGCCTTCTTGAAATTGTGCCTTCCTGGCGCCGATCTTGGCGTCAAAAAAGAATTGCCAAGAAACAAGGGGCACCTAATTGTAAACTTTTACATAGAATATATATGAAAACTGTAATGTTAGTTGTTAAAATTTGACCAATTGTTAAGTGCATGGTTGCCAAAGTTTGGTGTATTTTGAAAATTTTATGACATCTATTGAAGCAGTTGGTCTAATATGTTAGTTTATGATAATTTTTTGAAAATGGTAAATTAGTTTCATCTTTATTACACTAAAACAAAAGGGTGCTTTTCTGTTATTGTACTGAATTAAAAAGTGTATGTGTGTGCATATGTTTGCATGTATGTGTGTGCACACTCGCACATACAGACTACATACATGCCTAGTATATTTTGAATTCAGTCCCAATAACAGAAAAGTACCAATAGCACTCTGACTATTGTGTTGTATTTCAATAAGTTCATAGTTATGTTGTGTTTCATTGAGCATTTACTAAGTTTTTATTTAAAAATTGGCAAATCTCAGATAAGCGACATTTGGTGCAGTTTTGTCCGCTGTCTTAAATCGTGAAAAATCACCATTTCCTTGGAAGGAATGTTTTGACGCCAAGAGGGAAATGACATCAAAAGGCACTTTCAAAAAATTCCCTCTTCAGCCCAGTATCTGGGAAAGAGCCTTATATGGCTAACCTTAATGCTTTGCCTTATATGGTTTTAGCCTTATAAGGCTAAAACCATATAAGGCAAAGTGTAGCATTTGCGTTAAGGTAAACCATACTCATAGAACAAATTGTAAATGATTGGATTTTGTTGTGAGTAAATAAATCTACATACGTTTTTGATACTTCTCTTTCTTAATTCTTACCATTAATTTTAACAATTATCCATAATAATGGTTACAGATGTTTGAAAACATGTTCCTTATATAAATGCAGTAATGATCACGAAAATGCAACATATATCACATAGTTAAAGATGAAAGTTTTAAAAAATAAAATATGCATGTGTTTCCACAACAATATTACATCCTCGAAATATATTACAGGCTATTCAGGCATGGTTTATATTGGACATTCAGGATTCTTTTATGCACATAATTTCGCTTAATAAGTTTAAAAGGATTATTTTTTATTCTTTTTTCGTGTTTAAGTCCGAAAATAGTTTTCATGTAGGTAAACAAAGA